CAAAACAGAATCAAATTTTGTTGTCCATAACGGTATCTAAATCACTTGCATCTACTTTGCCAATAATTTCAATTTCAATTATGAATATACAACATCCATTGAAATGAAATAGCATGCTTAAATGTAAGTGGGATTTGTGGATGGTTTGGGTTTTTTTTATCAAGGCTTTTGTAATCTCTTCATAGTCAATAGGCTTGTAACAAAAAGCACAATTAAGCTTTCCTTGCTAAAAAAAAAGAATAAATGACTACTTTCTATTTGAATATTAAATGTTATAAATATCTACGAAAACATTCTAAGCGAACGACACAATGCACAAGGAGTTTGCTATGTTCTCTATTTCTTCATCGCCTTGACTTGTTCATCAGCACAGATGGAAGTGTGTTCTTTTGAGAAGACCGAGTGTGTACATCTGATTGTGTGTTTGTTTGTTTGTAAGGCTGTGTAAGCTGAGGTGTTAGAAAGACTAATTCTTGACCGATATGATTGTGTGGGATACTGTTAAGAAATATGCGTGAGAGACACAGAGAGGAAAAGGGAGAGAGAAAGAGGGATGGAGGGAAAGAAAGAAAGAGGGAGAAAGGGTTGAGGTGGGAGAGGGGGTATTACTCATAAGCTAACTTGTTGAGTTAAGAACAGGGTAGAAGAGAAGTGGATTTTGGTGATCATGAATTTATTTTTGAAAATGCTTTATGCTCTCACACCTCAAAATCGTTATAATTTAAATAGCTTATGAGGCAGGCTGTTTTACACTGCTTTCCAGGGCCCACCCAGACATATAGATCCAGAGTGTATCATAGTAACTGAGAAAGAGATACTTTGAAAAATATATTTTCCATATAAGATTCCGAAACATCCAATCTTAGACAGTTTGATATTGTATATCTGCTCTAAGCAGATACCTTTTTTTAAAAAAGGCAGTGTCTGTGTGTATGTGTTTGTGTGTGTGTTGTAGTTGATGTCAGAAAGGGGCAATGAAGAAAGTCTGGAACTGTTCAAGGGTAATTGTATGTGTTATTCCATCCTTGTCATATATTTCGTCAGCAAGCTCTTCAGCTGTTCTAAGCCCAGAAAGCAAAATGTGTCACGACATGGTGGAATCAGGCGCTCGTCAATTTTTGGGCATATGGGATTATCGACATCCATTTGCCTTCATTTTGGTGAAAAAAATATCCATCAATGTTGAATATAAGTCGACATATTTGCGATTGAAGGAAATTCACACAGAAATGTGTCTTTAAATAGCTACTAAAGGTGTTGAGCCAAAAAAAAGAAAATTAAAAAAAAAATTGCCCATCAGCCGAAAAGATGCTGATTTTTTAAATTTCATTATTATGACGAGCGCCTAATTTCACTATGGTGCCTCACAAATATTTCTAGGGAGAGGAAACTATTTCATTTTTAAAAGAATTGTACCAAAATCATGTTTCTTTTCTCGCTTTTTTTAACTTATCGAAATTGAAATTTGAACTTCAATAAAATATTTATCGAGCACATGAAACCCCCAATACCACAGAAAAAGTATCCAGTAGATCTATGGCTCTTTTCATTTATGAAAATGGTCAATGTAGCTTAAGATGGTCTCAAGGCTGCTTCATGCAGCTTCTTTCACAGAATAAAAATCTTCAATTAAAACAGAATGTAAAATGTTGGGCTCAGAACAACTGCTCAGCTTGCTGACAACTGACAGTTTACGTAAAATTTACATTTTGTTTGTTGACCGAACATTCTTCAGCATTCTGGGCCAATCTCTTGTGAACCACACCAAAGCGAATAACTGGCTCAAACTGGTTGTCTCCCTTCATGGTGTGTCTACTTTTTATATTATTTCAATTTTATATGTCCTAAACGTATGTACATATATCGTGATATAACTGTCAGTCAAACAGATCTTGGATATGCTATTTCAAACACGTTCCTTACCGTATGTAGCTGTTATAATTTGTTTGTTTTTGATAAGTTGTTGTGTGTTTTTGTTATTCAGATAGATCTAGCGGCTACATAGTTAAAACACTGGGGAATTACATAATCAGCGTAGTTGAAGATAAATTATTATTGTACATAATGCATTTTTTTCTCTGTGTTTTAATTTTTAAAGTATCACTCAGAGTTTAGTATGAAAAAGAATATATTGTCTCCTTTCAATCTATCCACAGTTTACTACTTTACTATATTGTAAGTGATTGTCTTGTGAGTTGTCTTCGGGATACTTGAAAACCACTATAAAAAAAATGATCAAGGCCACCTTATTTCAGGTTCAGAGGAGATCAAATATTAAAGTACAAAATTGACTGGACTTCGGTAATCTTCATTTTAGTGACTTTAATCATTTTTCTGTTGTACTCATGATTTACAAGCTGGTTAAGGATGCGATTAATTTTCATCTGTGTATTCGTGTTTGTAACAATTATTTGGTGGATTTTAGAGTTTAAATACATTCCGCAAGCAGCATGGTACAGGCATGGTTTTTATTTTATAACAGTTGGAGTCTTAGAATAATTCTCTGCAGGCTAATTAGGACAGAGGTCAAAAGGTACCAATAAAGGACTTTTGTGTCCAGGGAAGAATACTCACAACCCCTTGCCGATTTTCCAGCTTATTTCACCCCCCCCCTCTCTCTCTCTCTCTCTCTCTCTCTCTCTCTCTCTCTCTCTCTCTCTCTCTCTACCTCTCCCTCTCTCACCACCTCTCCTTCTCTCTCTTTCTCTCTCTCTCTCTTCCTCCCTCCAAACACCTTTATCTCTCTCTCTCTCTTTCTCATTCAAAACACATTCAACTCTCCCTTGTATAAACCATTCACTAGGAAAGAATTAGCAGTAGTGATATAAACAAAAGACTTGCTCTGCACACCTGTTTGTAGGCAAGGCGTAAAAATGTTTTACCCCTCCATCGAAACAATTTAGAAAGCGGAAACGTACTTCACTCTTGTCTATTACTGCCATCAACTGTTTTAAATGTTTTATCAGTCTAGGAATATGACACTTTTTTATTTTTGGAGCTACTAAATGAACAAAACCCAAAGAAATAGGCTATAATATCAAGACAGACAGACAAAGGCGAAAACGAACCATTCTGACTACATTCCTTTTTCTCCGGCAGTCTTTGTACTTTGTATATCTACTCTGTACGTATTAGTTTTTCCACTAAAAAAATCCTTATCATTTGCCTTTCCGTTCCAATGTAACATATCATCGAGTTTTTGTTGTTGTGTTCTTGTTTTTTAAAGTAATATTATTTTTCATCATTGCTGTTTGCTCATGTCCATGCATATCCACGCCTGTTTTCACAAGAATGCCATGATACAATTGTTTATTTCATTACTGTTTGAATATGATTGTTTACTTGTATGTACTAAGAAAAGAAAAACAAGTATGTAAAGTGTTTAAATAACAGTTCGGACCTTGTACTTTAGAAAACGTTCATAAGCCATTCCTTTTTTTTTTCACGTGTACAGTCTTAAGATTTCGCTGCCATAAAGTTACATATTCTAAAAGAAGATGCTTTCTTCTTCTGTATATTATTACTATTGTTGTTGTATATTATCATTATTATTATTAATATTATTATTACTATTATTATAATTATAGTCCTTATCATTTATATTTATTGTCTATGATAAATGAATATGGAGGCTTCTATTCTTTTGTTTATGAGGGTTACCAAAGAATATGTAAATCCCCTCATTGGGCTGCTGTTTCTGTACTTCTAGGTGAATATCTTATCTTTGCTGTTCTTCAAAAGCCTGTAACTTGGTGAAATACATAGCAATACTTTTGAAAATTACTTAAGAAATTGTTAGCTTTTTCTCTAACCATAATAATGGAAGGAGAAGTTATCTGTTGACCCAATAATTATATAATTGCTAAGTTGAAGCCCCACGGTTACAGTTACATGGTACTCAAATGTGAGAGACGGCGGGAGGGAGGGGGGGATTCAAAAATTAACACAAAAAAACGTTTGAAAAATTGTTTGAGTTAAGAGAAGGGCATCAAATAGAGGTCAATTAGTATGAGGAAAAAAAAGATGATGCTGATGAACAGAAATAACAAACGGAGGGTAAAGAAGCATGCTTTAAAAAAAATGTTCATGAAAAAAGGTATATAATCCAATAGTAATGACAGTTGTCAATTAATTGTGATATATATATATATATATATATATATATATATATATATATATATATATATATAGATTCAGGCAAATCCCATAACACAAGAGAAGCCCCATGTCGTAAATTGAACCATCCTTGAAAATAATCGTTAATAATTATGCAATATGTTGTCCATTTTTTATTATTCGTAAAAGCATAATAATTTTATTGTTCTTTTTTTCCTATCATCTGTGTTGATCGTATGTGATGATATGAAATTACCTTACTTACAGTTGATAGCTCTGCTTTTGTATGCCCACTCCTCACCCACAGAGGAAGAAAAATTGTGTAAAAGATTTCTTTAATACGGCATTATTGAATGAAGAAAGCTGCAAGCTTTCACTTAAACAAAGGGCAGTGGGACAGAACATGGTATATCCACAAAGTGAAAAGTGGAGAAAAAATTGAGTATTCAGTCATAGTCGCTTAAAAACCAATGGTTAAAGCACCTCATGTGGCAAATCTTTTAGAGCAGTCAAGATCAAAGATCAAGCTTGTGAACTGAAGAGAAAGAAGTGAAAGCTTGTTTTGTTACAAGGCCATGTGTACTTATCAAAGTAGGGATGACCAAAGTTATTGAATTTTTAAACTTCAAGTTCATGTACATAATACTCTGAAAAGAGGATGTAAATGTGTAAGATCAGAGGAATTTATTTATTCAAGTTCAATTGTTAGCTTGCTTGATATATTTATTTCATTAAAAAAGTTTTACACCCCATCAACTCAGTTTAGGTTGTTTAGAGTGTGGCATACTATGACACTGACTGTCAGGGCCACTGACCTAAGTATGACACATTACTCCAGCAAACAGACAGACATCCTAGATGGATCAGATTTCCCCAGTTGGAAATTGAACTCACGTCTTCTGCATGCGACAGTGAAGAGCCTAACCAGTCTCTGACGATGAGTAACGATGAGTGAACCACGCAGTGTATAGATACTGTACGCTGTAAGCAAACACAGTTATTCAGAAAACAGCAATAAACTGAAAGAAAATAAAGTCGCTGATTTTCTTTTCTTCGTTTTGAGCAACCTCTCTAAACCAAACATGATCAAACCAAAGAAAACCTGTCGGTCCCACAGATTTCTGTTTCAGCAGACTCCATTGCAGATGTATTTTCTCAGTCTTAGTATGAATTTTTAAAATAAGGAGTTAGGGTGCCACAGGTTATTTTTTTCCCTTAGATTTTAATGTGTGTAATTATTGTGAGTTTATAGATGTAGAACACTTTTTATAAATTGTGGGTATCTTTGAGAGCAGAGGATAACATTGGACTTTTTTTTTAATCTGCTAAATTTACGAAGGCAGAAATTAACTAACTTCAAGTATGACCCTTTATGTTACTGTGACTATGGTTGGGTTTTTTATTGAGTCCATTTTTACCACTCATGTCTATATGTGTGACAGCTTTGTAATCAAAATTATTTAGCCATTTTGCCTCTATTAAAAGATTAAACTTCAAACAATGTTCAGTTGGTCTTATTTCTTTTGCGCAGAAATTTAAAATGAGCTGCTTTTCATCTTAGAAAAAAAAAGATTTTTGTCTTCGGTGAAATTGCCTGGGAGGTTTGGTCACCAGTTTGGTAATTACTTTGTTTGGTGTGAGTAAAGAGTAGAAGCACATGGACACAATAATGATCACAGGGTGCTGGGAAGAAGCATGACAGATAGACAGAAACAACAGGGGGACACTTTTTTATTTAATATAGTAAGAGTTTTACGGCCCTTGCAACACAATAAGGTCATATAAGCGCCGAAGATTAGAGGTGTTACAAGAGAGTAACAAACACAAAAAGGAAGGAGGAGAGATCAGGACAATAGATGTTTGATAGGAAAGAAGGAGTAAACCACACCAGAGCACCCACCAACCACCCTCGTGGAAAGAAAAGAAGTAGTACCTACCAGTGGTGCCCTCCTACTACCCGCAGAGTAAAGAGTAACACATAGAAACAGTTATGATTATTACTGTTTGGAAAAAGAGCAGCAGATAGAGAGAGACCACAAAAGAGAAGAAAGACCTGGCAGTGACACTCTCCAACCTCCTGCACTTCCTCCGGAAGCTGCTACACTGTCTGAACAGATGTCTGTCGGCTATCCGTACATCGTCTTTTACTATCGTATCCATACGACGTGGGTAACTCTGTTCCACCACTTTCCAAAGAGGAAATTTACTCGTTAATCCGATCTGTACGCTTTGCATAGCAGTCTGTCAAAATGATTTTTTGAGAAATACCGAAAGTTTCAAAGAGATCTTCGCACTACAAGTATTCTAAAATGTGAAGAATACAACCCCTGGGGTACACAATGACCCTAGGCGTACGGATAGGGTTAGTGATCCATTGACCCAGTTTATGTCATTTATTAAGAGGCAGGCTTCAACCATGCCTGTCAGAGCCAAGCCAGGTTGAAAAGGATGCAACATCCCAGCAGAAGGACAGAAATAGGTAGGTCTATTTGGTGAAGTAAAAATTCTCGTCACAATCTAAGGGCCTTGCTACTACACCACAGATGCCAGCTGACTGGCGTACGATCTAAAGATTCAACATAATATTCTGAAACAAGCAGCTTTTCTCCTCATAAATAAAAACGACAAATGTTTTGTTTCGACTAAGATGACCTGACTTAAGTGGCAGGCGTGAACTCAGAGATAGCATCATTTCATCTTTGTTATGTAAAGAGTAGCCACACTGGAACAAAAACGATCCTTTCGTGCAGCAGAAAAACAAAATAGACAGAAACAGAAAAGAGAGATGACAAAGAAGTAGGACATAACAGTGGTGCCCTCCAACCACCTTCAGATATTAACAAGTATAAATGAAAAAAATGGAAGATGCTAATTGAGAAGATAAGCCACCTTGGATATGGAGAAAAGACATAATTTATTAGGAGAGTCAACTAAACAGTCGTCAAATGGTCAGCTGATCTTTGTGCGAGTAAAGAGAAGCATACCAACACAACAATGGTCCTTACAATGAGGGAAAAAGGTTGAGGCTAGATGGAAGACTGAAACAAAACAAGGAGAAAGAAAAGAAGTAGGACACATCAGTTGCACCCCCAACCACCCTCAGTAAACTGTTGTCGAGACAACAAATGAAGACTGACGTACTTGACAAAACGAATAAAAAGAGGAACCATCAAAGCTCTAAAATCTCTCCATGTTTATTCTATCAATAACTGTTCTATATACAAATGTATGAGCTGTGGCCTCAATCATTCACCACTCAATGATAAAAGAGCAGATACTTTTCAAACAACACACAATATAATAAATCCATACTCATTCACATCAATGGGAAACATACAAAAAGTAGCTCATTCACATACTTCAAATGGAAATAAAGTACAAATGAAATAAAACCAAAGCAAATTTCTGTCCTTACCCAGAACACAACACCCACTATCTTAACCACTTTCAAACAACAAAAGAGCTCAATCAGACACCCATAACTAGGGTTCATACAGAAATTTAAAAAAAACAGATCTAGTCTAAAATTTGTTTTTCCAAGACTTTTCCACTAGTTTTGCCAATTTCCGAAAATTCTAAGATTTTTCCACGTCTTGGAAAATAAAAACAAAATTCCAAGACTTTTCTAGTTTTCCAAGACCCGTACGAACCCCGCACAACACACAGAAAACAAACGACACACACGTAAACTGCCACGAGACTAGTCGTCCTCCTCCACGTCCTTCCCCTGAAGCCAGAACTTTCCCCGCTGTTCCTTGGGCGGACTGACCCACCGCGAGCACGGGACCTGGCCGGGGATCTCACAGATACACTCACTGGTACACTGGTACCCAAAGTTGGCCGGGTTTGTCTTCATCTCCTTGGCCAGCTTCTCTGCTTGAAGAGTCTCCCTGGCAACGAAAACAAAGAATATATTTAAAATGAACAGGTAATAAATAACCATATTATACAAGTAATAAAGAAAAAAAACCCAACAAAGTTCTCTTCAATTCTAAAAATCCCTTTCTATGCTGCAGCTCTCCGTGAGAATAAATTAAATGACGAATAAATAATGTCGGACTGCATTTCTTCTGCAACTTCCTCCACTTGTGAGTGTTTCCCTTGGGAAAAATGATGGAAAAAACGAATATACAGATGAACAATTAGATAATTTAGGAAGCCGACTGCTTTAATCCTGTCTGTCAGGGCCAACCTGGACTGGGTGAGAAAAAATATCCAGACAAGCGATGTGTAAAGGTGAGGTGTATGACCATAACACCACAGACATTGGTCAAAACATGACCTCTTGCCCATCCCTTTGTTGTTTTAACTTTTAGGCCACGTCGCACTAATATTTAACTAAAGCATTGAAAGCATCAATGGTTATTGGTAACATACTTTGATATTAAGTAATAACACATAAAAAAAAAAAGAACACGACAAACAAAGCACACTTCTTTGCTTCAACAATAAAACTAAATCACTTCAATCATAAAGAACAACAAAAAAAGAACATACAAACGCAAGCCATAGTCCCAAATGCCTCAGGAAAGCGTGAACATTTTCTTTAGCTCAAAAACAATTTTATTTTTCAAATTCCAGAAGTATCCAGACAAGGCCTATTCTAAAAAACACCCTATAAATGTGGCCCTCTCTTTAGTACAGATGTCTGCAGAAAAAACCCCTAGATTCCATGAATGACAAATATATTATATATAAGGGAATAATTGAATTCCAATAATCTAGAAATCTCCAGAAAAGTGCCTTCACTCCCTGCCCCCTTCAACAATTCTTCAGCCTCCCACTCTCACCTCCCCCCACCCCCCTTTCCATTCTCCAGAGTCCAGCACTTACTCAGTCTTACAGAAGATCCTCTTGACCGTCTGTAGAATGGTCTCTTTGTCCTGGTCATCCACGTCAAGCACCAGCTTCGAGCCCGAATCTTGGGAGAGAGCAGAAAACATCATTTAGTCACATGACATTTTTTTTTTCATATGTAAGTGCTTCATGTCCCCACTGACACAACTTAGTTCAGTCAGGAGGCAGGTTTTGATCCTGCCTGTCAGGGGTCAACACGGGCTGAGAGGATAATAAAGTATCATCGTATCTTATCTTACCTTATCTTATCTCTGTAGAAAGACAGAGATACTCAATAACAATTCTTCCCACTTAGGAATTTAGTTTTTAGTTTTAGTAAGAGTTTTACGGTGCTCGCAACTGCATAAACTTAGAAATCAAACTTGGTTCTCCTGCTTGTGGGGGTAAAGTGCCTAACGGCTGCACCACAAACGAACGCTGGCGCTTGACAATCATAAAGTTTACTATCTAATAATCCTATAGAACACTTGGAGAAAAAAGAATCAGACAAAGTATGCACACAAGTATTTCCTCAGACATTTCACAGTAATTAATTTGTCCTTTTATTCACAGAAAAGGGCAGGAAAAGAAAAATTACAAAATATTAAATTGCATTTATCCATCAAAGAAAGAGACGCACTGTGAGCATCAAAAGGACGGGTAAGTACAGGATAAGGAAAGATGTGAAAGTGATATTGAAATATAGTATAACAAGGATACGTCGAACACAGAAGACTCAAAATCACGCTTCTGTCACACTGTGCCTGTGGTCCCATTTTTTTCTTTTCTTCTTTATCTTTGTAAGACTTCCCTCGAACTACGGATCCCTCGAACTACCGAGGCCGGTCCCCAAGAATTCCAGCTATCCATGTTATACTGTATTTTGGAAAAATAGCTATAAACTAGTAAGATTACCTGCTTTTCAATGTTATCAACACAATTTGGTCACTTAAACACCATGCCCATATTTGGTTCCTTAGAGCAGGTAAATGGCAATGAAGGGTTCAGCTAGTGAGAATTTAACTAGTATTGCTAAGGACGACATGGTAAGATAGGCAAGGGACAAAAAAAATATTAAAAAAACAAACTTTTTTGTAAATTATTTTAAGGACAATAAGAAAGTTTCTGGCAGTTGTCTTGGTGGTACATTAAAGCAGTCAGTCCCGGGAGAACTTACCGAAGAAGCACTGCACAAACGGTGATGGGGTCATGTTGTTCAGCACACACAGCTGGATGTTGGGGTTCTTGTACTGCATCTGGGCAAAGTGCCAGAACACAAAGTCTCTGTGGAGAGCGGACAAAAAGAATAACTCTTTAAAACTAAAACTGACAATAAAGAGTGACAGTTCCTTTAACAAGTTTTTTTGTAAGAGTTTTATGGTGCTTGCAACCAAAAAAAAAGCTCTTACTAAAACTAAACAAAAAAACAAAAAACAAAAAAAACCTATCAACTATCAATGCGTTGCTGACTTTATTTGCATGTTTACTGTCACTCATTGTTGTCAGTTTTACAGTTTGTTTTGCAAATACAGACTAAAATATGCAGAAAATTGTACTCTTTTGAACTTTTTCATTATTTTCAGGGATTGAAGATGTTACGTTTTACTTTCATTTCTTTTAAAAATAATGAAGTATAAATAGAAAAGTCACTGTGCAGCACCCTTTTGTTGAGATAGTCTTACTCAAGAGCACACCACAGTGACCACTCATCTAAACAACAGAACGCATAGTAGGCAGGTTACGATAAACTCACTCAGCCCCCTTGCTTGAAGAGTGGTTGTTGTTGAAATGGAACGTGACGATTCTCACACTGTCCTTGAATACCAATGCCCCCTGCTCCAGGTACTTCACCGTACGCCGAATCGGCGCTGCTCCTTTCATGAAAGGCATGACGACAGCTAACGTAGGTCAAGTGTTTCTGAAATAAATTTACAACATTCAAAAACAAAATCCTTTCCACTCAACTCTTTAAACAAAGTGTGGCACTCACAGCATTTGTCAGGAACTATTGCAACCAAGCAAGAAACACTGTGTTAGTGTTCACAGACATTTTTCATCGTTTTTTTCACAAGGCCCGTGTCTGGTGTCTGGTGTCTGGTGTCTGGTGTAATTGCTTGCTTGTGTTCAGATCGGATTTGGTTTTTAGTCTACGAAATACAAGCTTTTTATTTTTTTCAGTCATCTGTGTAATGTAGACTGTAGCCATTCCTTTGCTCGGATGCTCTCAGAAAAGCTACGTTTCCCTGATTTTTCCCTGTTACCCATTCGTTTAGGTTCCCTAAGCATGTTGTTCTGGGCCTACCCCTGCCTCGCTTGCCTTCAATTTTGCCAGTGAGAGCTAGATGTTCAAGACCCTTTTATGTCTATTCAGGTGTCCCAAAAACTGCATTACAAGGTCTATATAGGCTATAATTATAACTCTAGGCCTATTTCAGTTTCAGGAAGGACTTTCGCAACAAGCGACCACCCCAACAAACACAATAAAGTGACCTTAAACGGGGTGCCCATTACGGCCGGATCAGGCCGATCGCCCCGACTTAGTCGCCTGAAACTGAAAAAAAAAACATGTTTGTTTTTTAGGTGACTGAGCCGATCCACCGATCCCATCCATAGTGGGCTCCCCGTATTGCCCTAACTCATTCCAAACCCAAATGCCTTTAACTCTAACCGTCTATTCTATACACTGTATCTATTTTATAGTGGTCGCTCGTTAAAGCAACGGAAACTCAGAATTCCTTCCCCAATTTAAGATAATCATCATGGTTTTTTTCATGGCCAGCTCTATTCGGACTCCGGTCCGAAAATTTCTTAAAACTTATTAAGTGAGTTATGTGAGTGCAAAGAGGTGACAAATAAAATTATCGTCAGGGGATTTTACGTAAAACCAAAATTAGAACTAGAATTACCTACTGTACTAGGACTGTGTAATTGTGTCAAAAGTCAAAAGACTGCTCTCTCATTGCCCAAAGGCAGTGGCAGTGTCTAAGTACATGGCATTATTGTTACATGGTAACCGACTACAGGATCTTTCCCCCACCACTAGCCTACGGCATCATCATTACTACCACTACCATTTGTCTTTCCACATGCTTAATTTCACTTTGTTTTTGCTACTAATCTTTTTAAAAAAATCACATTGCACGAAATCGACAGCCGAGATCTCTTCCCCCAGCAAGCTGAGAGTGCAAGATCGTTACGCGCAATCTCATTGGTCGATATAATTAATTTGTCTCCGACAAGGTCAACTCAATTTGGTTATTCTGTTCATACTACTAATGATGCAGGGAGTGCCAGTTTAGATAGATCTATCTAGTCTAGTAACTGAATCAAGCTCACGTCTCGATTGTACATCATAACAGAAAAAAAAATTCACAAATGCTGGAAATATTTTAGGGAACAAGGGTCGGAAATCCGAACAGACGTCATGCTGGACTCAATTCAGAGTCCGAATATAATTTTTTTGTCTAGATCTAGATTCTAATCGGACTCAAGTCCGAATTGTCACTCCGTTTTTTCATTCAACAAAGACTAGGACAAGACTAAGACTTTACTAAGACTAAGAAATGTTAGGCCTACGGCCACCTCTATTCTCACCCGGGATGAGAATAGTGCAGGCGAGTCTTTTGGCTATTCTCACCCGGTGCGTGTTCACTGTTATAGCCTAGGCCTAGATCTAGGCCAACAAATTTTGCGTTCACCCTAAGCCACAGAATTCTACCCTGTGATAAAGAAAAATTGTAGAATTCTGTGCCGTGAACAAACGTTCCATTACAACTGTAGCCTACTAAAAGCGTACAATTTTGTCTGTGGACAGTGGAGAGAGAGAGAAAGAGAGAGAGAGGAGTAGCGCGAGAACTTCCGGTCAAAACAAAATGGCGACCCGCATAGTTCGGCTCGATTCGAAAAGTTAAATAGCTGTAGCATCTTTGTAGACAACCAAATTAATTTACTTGTGTGTTTTAACATAATTTTTTAACTTTGTTTTGGTCAATTTGATCGTCCACACCGATAGACAGTATTCAGAAAGAGACAGAGAGAGAGAGAGGGGAGGAGTAGATCTTGCGAGAACTTCCGGGCAAAACAAAATGGCGACCCGCGTTGTTCGGCTCGATTCGAACAGTGAAATAGCCATAGCATCTTTGAAGAAGATCAAACTAGCTTACTTTTGTGCTATAACGTAATTTTTTCTTGGCTTTTATCACTTTGATCATCCACACCGATAGACAGTATTCCAAAATGAGGAAAAGCAAGTCTTGTTTCGCACCGGGTGAGAATAGCCTACGCTGGCAAGTCTCACCTGGGGTGAGAGGTAGATCGGTTTTCTGTTCTCACCCCGGATGAGAATAGCCACTTCCTAGGCTAGGCCTACACAAGTATACAGCCCATTTATTTAGAAATCTAGAAATCTAATCACTTTCTGCTACTGTGTGCGATTTCTCTGTGCGATATATGTACTCTCATGGAACCTGGGTATGCAACATTACAATTATAAAACCCTGATGACAAATTCTCGACTTCACTGTCACTGTGTGACTGTGATTTGTGTGTGTTGTAGATTCTAGTTGTGGTGATGAATTGCAGACACCTTCGCCTTCAACTGAATTTGGAGAGCATACACTTACACAGAAAAAGGCAAAGCTTTCCTACTATTTGCATCTAGATAGATCTATACGTGCAAGTTAACATATAAACTTACAAAAACTAAAGAATCAAATACATGAATATCCAACAACGACGCCCTTGAAACTTAATTCATGGTTCCCTGTCTCAAGCGTTGTCTGCTTCGCTTGCGTCCTTGTGTTCTTGTAGAATCGAAACCGGAAGTGTTTTGACTGACTGACTAACTTCCATGTTTTTAATAAACAATATAAAAAGCAGACTTCACGTTTACCTTTTACAGTAAAACTCGAAACTGGAAACATATCTTTTTTTTTTCTAGAACTAATTTTGAGACAACTAAAACGGTTTTTGATGGCATAAAATTTATTCGAAAATACGAATGATTAAGTCAAGGTCTAGGGCGCTCATAATCGTAAAGAAAGTTAAAATAACTACAACTGCATCGTCATCAGACGGGATAGACTGGTGGATCTTTTTTTTTTTTGACACACACAGTATAATGTTTCCAAGTGCAACTCAAAAGCAGCAGAACGACGGCTCAAATTGGGTTTCAACGTTGAATAACATGTACATCAGCTACCAACCACAGAACTGCCGCAAAACAACAATGACAACGCAATTCATGGTAGCGGCGGGATTAATTAAGGGAGGTAACATGATTGTGTCTGTGATGATATTTATTTTAATTGTTGTCTCCCTTGATTAACGCTTGGCAAGTTTTTCTTCTTTGTTGAACTGATGTATTGAGTCAGGGGTGGTCATTTCTCTCTCTCTCTCTCTCTCTCTCTCTCTCTCTCTCTC